TACATTGTTGCATTTTAGTTCTGGTCCGGGATCCTCTTCACACTGCTTAATTACAAACCAACCAAGGAGAGTAAACATTCATACAAACTGACATGTAACGTGTTGACTAGACAGTTTTGGCGATTGTCGTCCTGCATCATCAGAAATAACTGATTTGAAGCATTCTTAGTATTATTAGAATGCAAATCGACCGCGTGTTCTGAATAATGACTAAACAGGTAGAGACAGGCCTGTGCAAATTCCCCTTTGCATGAGGCGCATGCAGCGTGTTGTGACTCAAGGGCCTATTACTGTAGGATTGCTGTCACACACTTTTTAAAGGACTTAATGAACTGACAAAGTGCACACATTTGGATACAAGCACAGCAGTTTTACAGCAAAGAAATGACGCGCATTTGTGTTGACTTGCATAAAGAGGTTATATACATGACCTCATACAGATCAATTTTAAGGTTGTGTCATGAACAGGCTCCACGATGAGCAGATAGATTTATTAGTCGTTGAGCTTTTGAAAACGTGCTAAAATCACATATCTGCTATCATAAAATCGTGTGGTTTGTTTGCTTTCCTACCACAAAGGAACCGCTCCAGAGTCCGCTTGGAAGCGGTTCGAGACCACCTTTTCAAGCCGCCTCGGTTCGAGACCGATTGGGTTGTTGGTCCGCACCGGGTTCGATTGGCAGCTTTCACGCCAGCCTTAACGAACCGGACTAACCAAGCAAACGGACCGGAGTTTGTTTAAACTGGATTAAACAGGTCAAATGTTTTAACCAATCAAAGACATCATTATATTCTATTATATTCAGCCTCACCCCAATCCTTTTGGTACAGTCCCTTAGAGAATTGGCTCCCACACTGAATCCCTTGATCAGCTAGAAATATCATGCTTCCCTGAAATCCTACTGAACATGTGCTGTTGAGCAAGGCAGTAAACTCCCTATGGCACTAAGGTTCCCAGCTGAAAACACCTGTCGCTCTTCTGATAACACCCAGAGCTTGAGAGCACTTTGGAGGCACAGCGTTATTTTGTCACGGCTCTAGCTGTTGCTCTGGTTGAAAGGAAGGCTGACGCACAAAGAGAGAGAGGATGGACATGCCGGTCTGACAGGGTTCGTGAGTTTTTGTGGGCCATCGTTTTCATTGGTTCAGATTCAGATTAACTTTATCATCCCACAGGGGGATATTTGATCGGTCCAGCGGTCCAGAAAACATAAAGACAATAAAAACAATAGCATTACATACACAATAAGAAGCTTACATATGCAGAGTAGAACACACTTGATCAAGTCTTTGTGGTGCATAAGGGCGACTGTGGCTCAGTGGTAGAGCAGGGTCGTCCTTCAATCAGAGGATCGGCGGTTCGATCCCCGGCTCCACTAGTCCACGTCCATGTGTCCTTGGGCAAGACACTTAACCCCAAATTAGCTGTGCATGCGGGTGTATGAATGGGTATGAATGTTAGTTAGAGTCCTGATGGGCAGGTGGCACCTTGCATGGATACCCTCCTGCCATCAGTGTATGAATGGGTGTGAATGGGTGAATGATCACATGTAGTGTTTTAGGACTTTGAGTGGTCAGAAGACTAGAAAAGCGCTGTACAAGTACAGTCCATTTACCATTTAGCCTGTCTGTCCCGGCAAAAAAAAAAATGACAAGGATGAGCGCAGCATTTAACGCATGGTTGAACATTTTTCAACGCAAAACGTGCAGCGTTAAAGCGCAAAATAGATGCTCAGCGATGCTCATCACAAATAATTAACACAAAATAATACACCTGGCCATAAAACGACTTGTTGGACACAGCCCTAGGAGAGCTGCTTAATGTAGCTGACTGTGGTTGTACTGGGCCTATCACTCAGTTATGAATAAGTAGGGTGAAGTCAGTGTAGGGCAAGATATCTCTGCAGAATGCATTCTCATTTGATTTCCCTGGATAAATAAAGGTTAAATGAAGGAAACCAAAAATTAAAGCCCTTGCTGGAAGATAAATAGCTCTTTAATGTCAAGCACACTGCTGCCCGATGCTTCATTTCTGAAACGACTGTTAAAAGTCAATTCCCATAGACATGAGCGTAGGAGGCATAGAGGAAAGTATAGGCTGTATTACTGCAGGGAAAAAAAGTATATTACATTGTGTGGATGTGCACTAGTATGCTTGTCTTGTCACTCTCGCTGTATTATTCCTTAGTATGTATGTGAAGCAGAATACACCACCATGCTGTTCTCGAGAGTTTAAATATTTCATTGGGGGGTTGAATTCTCAAGCTACCAGTCACCCTGTTCAGCAAAGTTTGAAGGACTCCTCATCCTTATGTTCCAATCTGTTGAGTTAATGCAATGTCCTCATATTACGGCCCTGTCTTCCCCTATTACTTCAATTGTCCTCCATCGATATACAGTGTTCAAGTGTTGAACCCTTCTTCTTCTCTGCGTCCCCACGTATTCTTACAAGGAGGATGTAGCAGTGTTGCTCTGACCCTGTGTATTACCACAATTTGGTCTTATTGGATATCGTCTTTGAACTAATCACTGTAACTTTGAGTTACTTATAATAACATTAATCTTTGCTAACAAACGGTAACACAAGCTATGTAAATAATATTAGCAAGCTAGCTGTCTAGCGCGGAGGCTAACGGTAAAACCAGATGGCAACCGCTGCTTCTCAAAAGTGAATCTAATGCGGAAGTGCATTAAACTAGCATTCTTTCTAATGGCCATCAGGGTGCGGCACATCTGGTTGCAAAAAGAAGTCAGATTGTATAAAAGTCTATGAGAAAATGGCCCTGCTTCTCACTTGATTTACTACCTCAGTAAACATTGCAAACATGAGTTTATGGTCTCAACGCCACTTTCTAGTCTGGCTCCCTTGTGATCAAAAGGTCACTACTGCGCCATCACTCCTCCACAGTTCAAATATGGTCACTTCCGTTCCTTGGTTGCAAAAAAACAAGATGGTGACAGAGACGAAATCCAAGATTGCGGCGGCCAAAATGCCGAACTCGAGGGTTTCAAAACCGTGACGTCACTCAGCTTTTCATCATGGTAAAAATTGCTCAGCTTAGTTGGAATTTGTTACAATGTCATAATAAGGTTTCTGGTAAAATTATTAATTTGGAACATTTTTAATACCATAGAACACTCTCTTTTAAGCCTAGAGCAACACTGTAAAGAGGTTTGGCCTCACAGGTAAAACCTTAAAATAAGGTTAGAGAATGATTTTGGGGATACAAAATATATTAATTATAAGACCATGACACAAAAAAACATACTCATACAACATATGTATAACTTAATAGTGTCATGGAAATTGTCGATAAAACCATACACTTCTAAGGTCAGGGCGATGCTCTATACTGCATCGGCCCATTAACTTCTTCTCAACAAAGCTTTATCCTGCAACAGGTACAGCCAGAGGGAATTCTGGGAAAAGAGAACGGAGCAATGTGGCACACATAATTTGGCAAACCACCATAACATTTGCATTACTCTCAGGCTACAGCTGGCAACCACCCCCGCACTACGCTTCACATCTGCAGTGTAGTCAACCACTGCCCATGCAATCAGTGCTTGGCAGGAGAAGTTGGCTCACGTGTGAACATAGCGTGTGTGTGTGTGTGTGCATGCGTGAGCTGGAGGGGTTTCGCACTGACATTACGCAATAGTTCAGACATGTAACCCATCATATCCACGAACACGTTTATTCGCACACGTATGCACGCACGCATACATGTTGTTTGTGCGCTTTTGTCCTTTACCAGTGAAAATAAAGCAGACAGCACGGCTGACTTTCAAGAAATTTCCACAAGCGAGTGCTTTCTGGAACTAAACGGGTGCGGCAAATCCTCTTAAAATCCTTTTAGACACCGTGGCAGCAGGGAGAAAAAGGGAGAGAAAAAAAAAAAAAAAAGTTTCTCCCAGGCAAATGTGCAGGTTTGTTGGGTTGATGTCGTGCTCTGGGGAAGGACACCCTCGCCAGTCTATTTCTTCAAGGCTGGAAGAGCGTTGATACGACACGTTACCCTGCAGGATGCGCGGGAGCACAATATGGCGGCGCGTGTGTCGACAGAAGGCTTCAAGGAAAGACTTTGGGGAAAGGACGCTCTGGATGTGCACTGTACGGATGGGTATTAGGACAATGGAGGCTTTACAATTTAGATTTCAGCTGCCATCATGCCAGTGACCTGGTCAGGTTGGATATTTTCTCTATGCAGACAATAGTAAACAACCAAACTCAGTGTGACTATCTAGTCAGGGCAGTTTCACATTTCGATGAAATTCTTCTTTTTGGAATGAAGTTTTAAATGATTGTCAACAAGCGCCAGCCAATCCAGCCACTATGTCTTTAGGCTCTCTAATTTCCTCAAGTTTCTCAAAAACTAGTTTCCTGGCTCTGATTGCTATTTACATATTTGGGTAAATGAGCATGGGATTGGGCTCGGTGGTTTGTTTGTCGATTTGCTCTTTGCTTTTCTATCTCCTTTGGGCAACAGATTGAATTAATGTTTGTAGACACTGTGATGCCACACATGAGGAAACAGGAGATCTTGCAAAATTGCAAAACTCGCCCAATTACAGCTCTACAAACACATTCGAAGAGGAAAGAAAAAAACTAATTTGGGTGGCGATGCAGCTTGCTCGTGTCAGAGGCACAAGGACAATAATTACCTACATTTACAAGCTTTTTTTATTTAAATAGACCAAAAAACAGATATTGTTTACTCAAGAAACAGGCTTTGCAGAACACACCCACACATATTTGTGATCTGTATTTTCACTATATTTTGACACAACGTAAATGACAGTTTGCTTTATCAGTGCTGCCACTCTTTCTGCTCTTTTTTTTTTAGCTCCTATCGCCTTTCCTCCTTAATTACTTGTTGGAGAGTGTTTGGCTTTTCGCTGAGAGCCTGCTGTTTTGGTCATTACAGGCCTCTGTAGGAAGTGGAGGGAGCTGCCAAAGCTTAGCAGAAGATGGGCGCTGGGGATGTGTCTGTACTCACCTGGGGTAAATGAGGGCAGCTCTTCCTGCTGGCTTTGAGGCCTGTCCTCCCCTCGGGGGCCGTCCTGATGTTGAAGAGGGCCTGAAGAGCGCACTGGGCCGCCTGGGTCTTGGCCAGCTTCTTGCTGCGAGCGCAGCCCTCAAATATCCGCCCGTCGACACGCACTGCCATCACGAAGCTGCGCAGCCTCCGGCCCTCAGCTCGCTCCGAAAGGCAGGCGTAGCGCAGGCCCGGCCGGAGCTCATTGAGCAACGCCACGGGACTCTTGGGGGCCTCCGGATCTGGGACAATCCCACCTAGCCTTTGTTGGGCTTGCACCATCAGGTCCAAGGTATGGCGGAGCAACCGTCCATGTCTCAGCAGCTCGCTCGACAGCAGCTCGCTCTCCGCTGCTGAGTCGCAGAGCGAGAGGCCATCGGAGCATGGCGAAGATTCAAACTCCTTGAAGAGCGTGTCAGGGAAGTCCGCCTGATCTGAGGTGAAGTCGGCCGAAGGGTTTGAGATGTTTCCCATGGCCAGGTGGGCCTGAGGAGCGTTGGCAAACTGGACGAAGGACTTGAGGGCCAGCTCGGCGGCCTTCATCTTAGCTTTCTTCTTTGTGGGGCCCGTGCCTTCGAAAGTCAGCCCGTTCACCTCCACGGCGATGGAGAAGACGGGCGCATGGACCGGGCCCGTCTGAGACACCACGCGGTACTGCAGGCCCGGCCGCAGCTCGTTGAGTTGCACCAAGGCGTTCTTTGGAGCTTCGGACCAGGACAGTTTCTTATAGATCAGGCGGAGTTCACACAAGTGCCCGTTGTTGTCCTCCTCCAGTGGCCGCTTCCTCTTCAGGCCGGGGCTGCCACTTCTTGCAGAGTCTGAGCAGAAGAGCGACTGGCACTCCGCAGATCCAATGGAGCGATCCTCTAAGTTACCAATGTTTCGGTTTTCCTTTACCTCTGCACTGCTGGTGCCTGAAATACAAAAAAACAACAACGTGAAATGTCAAAGTGAAAAAAGCAACTATTACTGCGTGACACTTGCATGTATCCTGGCTGAACAAAATGAATCAAGGGAAAATCTACCAGGCAAAATTGAGCCACTTTATACACAATGAAATGGTAATGAACAAATCTGCAATCATCTCCCTGAGCCGAGCTCACTTCATACCACGAGGCTCTATCATATTTAAGTGTTTTAAAATCCAAACACAAATCCCCTAAAAATGGCGATGTTATCTGCCAAATCATTCTCGTAATCTGCCTCCAAATTGGTTCTGAATCTGTGTCGTAAGTGGGAACCATTGGCCCCCGTGGCCAATGCAGAGCATCAATCCTATTTGTAACGGGGGTGGGGATCACGTCGAGTGGCAGACATTCCATGAAAGGATAAAATGTCTGTAGCCCGCTTTTATTTCACACTTCTGTCCTCTGTGAGAGCAAAGCCTGAACAGCTGTGATACGCTCTTCAAACCTAGTTACGGGGAAGTGGTGGCGTATTGCATTTCTGATGGGAAATGAACAAAAATGGGGTGTTCAGATCTTGCCGCAAGAATGTTAATGGAGGGATGGGAGGCTGGGATCAAGTGCTGACATTCAGGGCTGGGCAGATTTGTGGATGATAGCGCATGCAGGAGCGCAAGCACCTATCTCATGACTTATTTATCACACTCAAATCTAATATTCAACAGCTAAAGATAATACAGATTTTAACACACACGCTGACATCCGTGCGTAATCAAAGACGCCATTTCCCAAATAATTAATTACGTGGGTGACAGACAGATCATTTCCATATTAGGCCCGCCAGCGAGGGAATTAGCGCAGCGCGCCGACAGAGAGAAAGAAAAAGCGGCGGCAGCTTACTTAAACTGTCCTCGTCCTCTGTGCTGCTGGTCCCAGGGCTTATGTACTTGAAGGGGGCGATCAATGCTGACAGCATACTGACTTTCTCTGGAGGAGAGAGACAAGAGACAAGCAGAGTCAACAAGAGGGCAGCGACGGAGATGTTTTGATAGTTTTATCGATCAAAGGCGCGAACCAGTGTCAGCCCGTGCACGGGCGACAACTGGCCTCGTGAGCGCACTCGCTCTGTTGCCCGTGCACGGGCCGACACTGGTTCACGCCGAGACCCATGCACGCCCACAAGAGGAAGAAAACGCAGACCCACGCACGCACATGCACACACATGGAAGATTTAAAAGAACTCATGAACAGAAATCAAACAAAAGACATGAAGTGAAGTACAATACACACTGGGCCTCTTGCAAGAACATTCTTATCCTAATCCTAAAAGTTCTCTTTCGGTGAAGTTTGTGCTCCTTCAGATGTCAGATTCACCAAACTCTCTTAACTGGACAAAGTTGTTGTAAATCAAGCTTTTGACATTTGATCATGAGCATGACTGACGCCCCTAAAATTGTTATGTTCAGTTACGTTTCATGAGGTATTAGAGGACCTGAAACAATTAGGTCAAATTAATAGAACAGCTGTTCAATGCTTTTGTCAGAGCAGTGCTATATCTTCTTAAAGCAGTCATGTGGCAGATATTAGAAGAGAGAATATAGTGTATTATGATTTCAGGTCAAATTAGTGTTTTTTTCCTTTCTCTTTCTCGCTGTTCATGAAAACTAATACGTGGCTCTCTGATGGACCGCACTGAAACGCCATCTCCTCTTTGTTTTGACTTGATTTTAATGTGGCGCGGAAGATCCATGTCACAGTGACAAGTCATTCACTGTCAGTGGATACAAAAACCTGAGATGACGCACCGAACGCATACATGAAGAGAAAATACATTTACCAATGTGTATTGTATTTCTCTTTCATTTTTTTTGTGTAACTGGATTTTATTTGGGCATTTGAAATCACACACACACACACACAGACACACACAGACAAACACACACACACAGACAGTATATCTTCAGTACTAAACTTCCTTTCTTTATCAGGCCTAACTTGTCGACAGTGGCTTTCTCCCGTTCCTCCCCGGGGCCTCCTGCTGTCCAGGTGTGCGTGTTGTTTACAGTATGAAGCCCTATTAGGACCATCGCTTGGTCTGGTGCACTCCATGCAGCGCTGAGCAGAATTGACAGACCAGTCTGGCTCTTTAATTACACCCCCCCCCCCAACACCAGCTAATGATCAATAAAAGAGAGAGGAACGGGAGAGGCAACGAGAGAGAAAGAGAGCGAGAGAGAGGAGCTGGAGGTGGACAGAAGTAGGGGGAGGTGATGGAGGAGGGAATAAAAAGCGAGCGGAAGAGAATGATCTGGGGTGAGTTTGTGTAGGTGTGCGGGAGGGTAGAGGTCGAGCCCGAGGTCAAGACGCCTTCCAAGCTCCCCGCCTCTCTCCACCACAGTCCTTAATGCTATATGCTAAATGCTGCATAAACCGAGGGGCACATTACAGTGCAATAAACATGTTTTGATAAGAGCGCGAGGTTGTGGATGAGCTGGACCCCCTTTGCTCTCGCTCTCTCTCTCTCTCGCTCTCTCTCTCGCTCTCTCTCTCATCGCAGCTCAACAGCACTAGAGGGGCTCAATGAGTCACTCTGACACACATGGATACACTCTAAACACCGAGGCTGGAGCTGGTCCTCGCGGGCCAATATCACAATACAATCATTTGCATTCTGACCTAATTACGGACTAAAGCCCAACACAAGCAGCAATTTGGCGCTAAACGACTCCCTCGGCCAACAAGGTCATTACCCGGACCATTTTCAAATCAGTCTGTATTGTTTTTAAAGCCCCTGAAGGCCCTTTTTACGGTACGAAACACGGCTGTCTGGTGTGTTTACAAGGGCGGCAAAATTAGAGGTTGTTGGTTCTGTACAGCGCATCTTAACCGGTTCTTGCATTTGTCACGCAAAATGTATACAGTTCCTGTGTAGCGTGAAAGACAAATGTTCACATCAAGCATGAAATTGCAGGCAATCAACAAACAGGAGGTTCACACTGCAGGCTGAAATGTCTGCAATGTATATTTTGGGGGGGGGTCGGAAACCAGCCACTCAACAGCTTCTGCCAAGTCAAAGGGCCCACTGGGCAAAAAGGCATGAGTTAGTGTGACCGGATGCACGCAAGTGTGTACAATATTATGAGCATGAGAAAATTCATTCTCCTCAGAGAACAAACTGAGGCCGTCAACGCGCAAATCTACAGGTGTGTAGAGCACACAAGCAGACGCGAGCTCCTTTACTTCTGTCTCGTTACAATAAAGATCTGAGAAGAGATACAACAGAAATCTTGCTCATCCCCAGTAAGACCTTCACAAAAAAAAAGTATCTTTCAGACTAAATTCAATAATTGGCAGGTTTTTTAACATCTGGTCACCAAATATGACCAGAAAAGGTTTATAATTTTTTCGCTGTGATGATAAGTATTCTGTCAATTGGCGTATGTTGAACTGGCCCCGATGCTACCTCTTGCCTTTTTGAACCTACCAGAGAAAATTGCTACTGTACTTAAGAGTCTCTTTCTATTGAGTGCTGATGTGAATAAAGAATAAATGTACTGTCAGGTCAAAAGGTTTCCAAGAGGTAGACAGGGCTAAGGCCTTATTTACACCCGGCATTAACATGGGATATGTATCTGTATAAGGATAAACAAAAAACGAATGCAAGGTGCAAACGCATGCAGGACGCAATGTGATCGCAGAGTTAGATCGACCAAAACCTAGACGTGATCTGGCCAGCATTGAAATCGGGTCTTGACCAGGCGTGAATGCTATTTGCTCAGTGTCTATTCTTTGCCGTCTCTAATTTTTCTGCAGCCTACAAACTATTACCAGAAGCAGGAGGATTTTTTCAGTTTCGTTGCTTCTCTGTCATCTCCGAACTCCGGGAGTGGCCTTGGTGTCTCGAAAAAAAGAAACAGTGTAGCAGCAGGCTACAGGTAAGCCATGCTGTGTCCAGTGTTATTTTTTTCCCCTTTGGAAACACGCAAACAAGCGGGGGTGGAGAAAAGAAATGATACGGGTAGAATCACTACTTTTGACTTGAAAGCTTATTTAGACCGATTTTTTTAAAATGTAGAATCGAAACCGTGACACCCGAAAGTGTTGACCTGATGGTGGCGGCCAGGTGAAAGGTTAAGGGATAACCAAGGTTATTACAGTTTACATCCGTCTGGGAAACATGAATGTCTGCGCATAATTTCATGGCAATTAATTCAATAGTTATTACCCCCCCCTCCCTTAAAAGGCCAATGATCTAAAGAGGAAACTAATTCTATGCACTTGCTCCAGTGTTAGACACATCGCTGGGCTGCATAAAAGCCTCAATAGACCCCTTTCATTCTGTATTCAGAGCGTTTCTTATAAGTTCACAGTCAGAACAGAGCGTTTCTGTATGGAGCTCTTCAGGTCTGCATAATTTCAAAGCGACAAAAAAAACAAAAACAATCCTTTTCACTTTCAATGAGAAAGCAGTTCATTTCAAACGTCTCAGGAAGTGGCTATTGAGTAGAAAATATCATCACGCTTTCAATAACTCGGATGCTGAATCAACTGCGTAGTGGTAAGCGGTGCAGTTTAGAGGTCATCCTCCAAATGCCACCTCTGATCGTTTTTTGATAGCTTTATGAAGCGCCGGCACAAACACACTTCACTCTGATTTATGGGTGAGCTGTGTATTAGGTCAGAGGCAGTTTGTGTTCGGAGTTTACAGTTTGTGTAGCGCGGCTGGTTTTTTTCCAAAGAGAGACGCGGCATATTTTAAGCCTTTTATGAATGAAAACACACAAGTAGTCCGTTTGCAGAGAATAGTTATGTAATTTGATACTAATTAAAGGTTAAACACAGATTTCATTTAAACTAGTGCTGGGGGGCAAGTTAACGCGTTATTATCGCATTCATTAATTATGCCGACAATTATTTTATTGCAGTTTTTTTATTACTATTAAGCGGACATTTTTAACACAATAACCGGCCGGCAGCAAGTGGTGAACAGCTGTTTGTGTGGCGTCTCTTCCTGTTTCCTTCGCCTACATTCCCCTGGGTCCTAAGTCCCTCCATGTACAGCTTCTTATCACCCTCTACGATAAAATTTTTTAATTGCGATTGATGATTTTTTTTGTGATTAATCATGCGATTAATCGCGATTCAAAATTTTAATCGTTACCCAGCACTAATTTTAACCTAAGCAAATATTGATCATATTGGTTTTACTGAATGCTGACTTAAGAGGACATTCACATTTTTGGTGTGTCGAACTGACCTATTGTGCACTGCATAGTCTCTGTAGGTTATTAGCAATTAATTAGAAGTAATTAAGTGTAAATGTACCCATTTCCTATATTTAGTACCAGGATAGTATGAAAATAACGATGTCCTTTGATAAAAAGATATCCATCGATTATATCTTTAATTCTTCTTCGTCTTTTTTAGGTGACTTTGTTGTTTTAAAAGTGGAAAAATGGAATAACCCCAACCCAGTGACCTCACATGACATCAGAGTTGTATTTGGGGCAAGTAAGTTGAATTTACAATGGCCTCTGTCAAAGCTGGGAGGAAAGAAACACAGCCTGGTGCCAAAGTTCATCAAACCCACCGATCACCGCCGCTGGTGTGGACACCGTTACCTTACGCGCCCTTCACGGTATCTGTCATCCATCCCTTCTTATTCTCCAGCCAGCCGAACGGACGAGACAATGCATGCCAATAGTCTCCATCCCCCACTGCACCAGGACACGGCGAGAGGAGAGGAGAGGACGCTCGGACTCATTTGTTTCCAGAGCACAAAAGGCGGGGGAAGGCAGAGGAGAGCCAGGTTAGATAGGGAGAGCCTTGGCAGATGGCCATGCACTCCTGATAGTGACAACGCTGGTGACGGTGTCCATTCAAAATGAGCTGGAGAAGAGAATCTCTCTCTCCTTGCACTTCCTGTATCAGTTCTGAGGAGAAGGGTAATGAGCCCAATCACATTTCCCGATGGCTCAGCATAACCA